ATTTTTTACAATGTAACTTCCAATGGATCCGTAGATCCATTGGAAAAACTGCGACGAAACAATTTTAAATTCGCGTCGGGGAAATGCAGTTGTTGCACTAAATCTATGATGAAGACAAAAGTGCTCTTGCGCTTGTTGACTTGTTAGGTAAAAATAGAGAAATTCCAATTAAATACAGTAACAAAGGAAAAAATGGGTTAATCTGAATTCGCCCTTGCAATAATTAGTTCGGATTACAGATGTTATACTGTAAATTTAATTGTACATACTTTCCTGACTGGGTTTCAATTGCTTAAAGTAGCAACAACGCCACCCATAAAAACTGATGATGGTGGAAAAATACACCGAAACGTATTTTAATTGATAAATAGAGACAATAAATGACTGAAATCCAGGAATTAATTTTGATTTCCGATTAATTGTACTCTTTGATCGGTACCTACTTTATCCCTACCACCTGTTTTTCATTGATAAATCGCCGATCGGTAGAATTTAATGTTGGTCCCAAACAAATCGGGATTTTTGAATGACTAGCTTGGTCTATTTATTAATGTCTTTGATTCAAACTGAAACTAAACAATTCACTTTGCATTTCTGAAATACATCTTTCGACACGCGACGAACAAACAGCCCACAAGTAGGGCGAGTGCCACCGCGATGAAGCCAAATTTGAATCCAGTGGCAATTCGCACTGTTTTGAAGTATTTCGCGTTCAGATCGTCCAGGTATTTTTGCGGCAAAGTGAAGCCCTACAAAAGATAGGTAAATATCGTCCGTCATTCCCAGACCACAATTGTTCTCCTTACTTCGTCCAGCCACAACAAGGGAACCACTGCTTCGTACATGTTTGGCGGGGTGATCATGGAGAGCAGTGGCTGTCTTCGAAGCACACTGTTCATTTGGACTCTTTTCCTGCCCTCCAATGGGGTTCCGGTGTTCTGAAAATGTTCATATACAAGGTGGCTCTAAAATATCTGTACAAAATCCTTGAAATGGTACCWATTTCCCAAATCAGACGTGATTTTCAAATATTCTTGAAAATTGCCTGATGATGACTGGAAATCGAAATTTTTGCGAGCTAAACCCTGYCTTTSCCCTACAAACTACAGAGAACATCGTCTTTTTTAGTTCTTTAATTTTTGAGGAARTAAATGYYAAACTCGGGCATGCAAAAACAATGCCAGTTTTGAAAAATTATGAAGAATTTGCTGATTATTGCTTAAAATCGAAACTTTGTCCACTAATAGAAGGGACTTTGCTCTAGAAGAATCATGCAAAACTGACTTTCTCACCCTGCCAGTTACAGAGGAAATAAATCATGAACTCTGGCCTGCAAAAACAACCACAAAAATTYAACGMGCGTTTGAAAAATTCTTGAAACTTTCTTGATGATGATTGGAAATCGAAAGGTTCCACTTCTAGCACGGACTKTAGGCTACTAAATACACACACAAAAAACCTTTCTAATTTTGGTGATTTTTGAGGAAAAAAAGGCAAACTTCGGTAAGCAAAAACCACCACAAAATCAACAGCGATTTCGAAAATTTCTTGAATCCGAAATAATTATTTCGATGAATTCCTCGCGTCCGTGAGCTGAAAATGATGTAAAATTTAAGACATTTTGAGAAAATTTTAATTTTTTCAAAAAATCGACCTCCACCCTTGGAAAAATTTCGGCCAAAAATCAAAATTTCACATGCGTGTTTTTTGAGTTCAATCGATTCCTTTCG